GGGAATCTCTCCTCCGCTCAGCTTGAACTCCAGGAAAAGCAGGGGGCGGGGCTTAAGTTTCTCTTGATGTCATCCTGTAATCGTAATAATTCTAGTTATTATCAAACAATACTACTACTGAGTGATTGTACCCGCTAGGATGCCTAAAAAAAAAAAAACTCAGATAAGAGGTGTTGGCAAAGATGTGGAGAAGTTGGAACCCTTAATTCACTGTAGTAGTAAACATGCAGACTAGTGCAGCCACTTTGGAAAACAGTCTGGCATTTCCTTAAATTGTGAAACAGAATTACCATATGTTCCAATAGTAACATTCTTAGGTATATACCCAAGAGAAATGAAAACGTATACATGAACGTTTATTTACAGCTGTATAATCCATAATAGTAAAAAAGTAGACGCAACCCAAATATCCATCAAATAATGAATAAATAAAATGTAGTGTGCCCACAGAATGAAATATTATTGGGCCATAGAAAGGAATGAAGTACCAATACATGCAACAACATGAACGAACCTTGAAAATATGCTAAGTGAAAGAAACCAGTCACAAAACATCATGTATTGTGTAATTCCATTTACATGAAATGTCCAGAACAGGCAAATCCATAGATAGTAAATAAGTGATTGCCCAGGGCTGGGTAAGAAATAGGAAGAGACTTTGATTAGGAATGGCTATTTTTGAGAGTGATGAAAATGTTCTACAACTGATTGTGATGACGGTTGCACCATTTGTGAGCATACTAAATATCATTGACTTGTATAAATGAATGGTATGGTATTGGAATTATATACCAAAAATGTTTTTAATAAAAAAATAATTATTTAAAAAAAGAATGAATGCCCAGCCGGTGTGGCTCCATGGTTGAGCCTCAACCCATGCACCAGGAGGTCGCTGGTTCGATTCCTGGTCAGGGCAGATGCTGGGGTTGCAGGCTGGATCCCCATCCAGTGGGGGGTGTGCAGGAGGCAGCTGCTCCATGTTTTCCCATCATCAATGTTTCATGTTTCTTTCTGTTCTTTTCTTTCTTTTTTCTTTCAACTCTTGCCTGAGGATATTTTTCTATTTATCTTTATAGATAGAGTGGGAGGGACGGGGGGGGGGGGAGAGAGAGAGAGAGAGAGAGAGAGAGAGAGAGAGAGAGAAGAAACATCGATGTGAGAGGGACACATGAACTGGTTGCCTCCTGCACAACCCCGACCAGGGCGGGGACAAATCACAAGCAAGGTATGTACCCTTGACCAGAATTGAACCTGCAACTCTTTGGTCTGTAGGCTGTCGCTCTAACCACTGAGCCAAGCCAGCCAGGGCTGTCATCAATGTTTCTATCTCTCTCTCTCTCTCTCCTTTCCTCTCTCTGAAACTAATGAAAACATATTAAAAAAGAAAGAAAGAAAAAAAAAAAGGAATGGTTTTACAAAACCAAAGTGGTTGCTTCTCTGGGGATCCTGATTATGCATTCCCACTTGAATGGGCAGTACTTTCAAATACTTGATCTATGGGCAACATTCTTTCCAATACTAGAAGTTATTAGGTTCTGAGCTTGGCTAATGTTTCCAGGAACTTTTCAGAATAACAATAATGGAATTACTATAGTAAGTCAAATTTGAGGCATTTTTGCTATCAAAATGTTATCAGAATAATTTGGTATATAATTCCGATACCATTGAATAATTTGGTATATAATTCCAATACCATTACTTAATAAGTAGATCAAGAAACTTCCATCTTTTATAAAACAGTACCTGACACCTTGAATGACTGTGACACCACTCTAAGTTCCAAGATAAGTTTGAATACAACAATGGAAAGCCCACAAAAGGTACACCAATCTGCTGCAGAGGCCACCAATGACTAGGTGATATTCTGAATAACATTTCAAGCTCTGAAAAATGTTCCATTCCCTATGAAATTTGACCTTGCTGTGGTTGCCAGTTTTCTCTTTCTACTTCCTCGTGACTCTTCAATAATCCCCTTGAGTAGGTCTTTGCTCCTTATCACTGGCTGGCTCACTAACCTACAGTCCTCCTGAAGACATCATAGTCCCAGAACTTTTGCCTCCAGATATTTCCTCACATTTCTGTCCAGTGTTCCAATTCATCTCTAAGAGCCATTACATTATTATGCATTGTTTTTCTTCTTTGTATAAACCTGCCCTCTTCCATCTACCTCCACTCCTATTTTTACATTAAAGTGATTAAAGGTAGGTTATTGAATGTAGCTGACTGGGTATGTTTTTCCATTTATGTAGTGTGTGTGGAAGTGACTGTGGGGGCACTTATAGTAACTCCATTCTTTGCCTACTGATCTACTGGCCCAAGGAACCCAAAGTGGCCTGGTGGTTTTCCCAGTTTCCAGTTCAGTGGAACACAATGCATCTCTTAAAAGAAACGTTCTTTAGAGAATTTGGACCATAATCCAGTGGACTCTAGGTTTGGAGATAGGAAGCACAAATTCCCAAATGGATTACTGGGTAACAATAATAGGGGCCATCACTATTGTGATCCTTTGGTTCCTGTAGTCTTGCTGTTGGAGACAAAATACCATATATGTATTATTGGTTGAGTGCATATCAATGCATATACTGTATCTCTGACTGTGCAAGGTGCTGTATCTTATATCAGCAATTTATTTGAGTCTTCAAAACATGCTTTTCCAGTTATATCAGGCTAGCTGCTTCTGAATGATGAGTAAGCACCATGAATTCTGTGGTTACAAGTTTATTGTCACACTCCTAGACTACAAAATGGGTTCCTTAGTTTAAGGTATGTCCAATGGATAAAGCATCCCCTAAGCTCTCAGATGATGGTGCTGGTGGAGGCAAAGCAGCCAAGGAAGACACACCCATATACAGAGCATATAACAATTCTCTTGTGATATTTTACTACTTCTGTATTGATCCATGCATAGTACAATGGCGGGCATAAAGGAAACATTAAGGAAGTGGTTAATTGCTGATACATTTTCTTTAATGCTATACAGTTTAAACTAAAGATCACAAAATTTATGAGTTGGTTAATTATTTCCACCTGTCCCATCTGAGGAACCAATGAAAGAAAATTTTGCTCAGAAGCCAGATAGTAGCTATTGTTTCTTACCACTTTGTTAGGGATTGATGCCATTGATACTCAAGGAGGAAATAAAGGGAAGGTGTATCAGAATCTCTGAAGCCGACGCAGTTAAAAAAGAAAAACACCCTACAGAATGCCACACTTTTTTTTTTTTTTTTTTTTAATTTGATGTCAAGTAGCATTAAATAGTTGATTTGTGAGCTTAAACAAAGGAGTAATATTTAAGTCCCTTCTTGATTCTTTAAGAGACTTGCCAGTCCCTAGCTGATCTAGTTCCACAAGACACCGCATTCTCTAGGAACCTATGAGATCATAATGCCGTAGGGGCTTCTGTTCTAGCACTCCTGCCTGCCTGTCCAAGTTCCCCGTGCGTTCCCTATTCTTGTTTCTGCGTAGTCCAGTCTTTCCCCCAGGAACGTGGCTCCCTCCCATTCTGTTTCTCTCTTCCACTCAATTTACTCAATGTCCCCTCCTTCTTCCAAGACCCTTAGTAGATTCCGACCCTCGATTTTCGGTGTACCTCCCATAACCAAAGAGCCTCCATCCTCTCTTTAATCGGTGTATTCTGCACCCTTGAGCTAGTTCCCGACGGGCTGACTCAGGGGGTGCGACCATCAGTCCGCCATTCCTCCTCACCACCAGGGAGTCTGGAGGGTTGGCAGTGCAGGAAGGGCCAGCGCGGGCGCTTTCCCAAGTCCGGGCTGTCACAGTCGTTACTGGTGTACTGGCTACACAGGCGGCCGGCGGGGTTGGCAGGGAAAGAGGTCCCTACCCCTCAACAGTGGCCTTCACCCAGGGCCCCCTCATCCGGGGACCTGCCGTCGGCACCCCCCCGCGGCGGACTCCGCCTCCGGAAGTGCCACCGAGAAGCACCGCCCTCCAGGCGGTGTAGAGCGACCCCGAAAAGGCCGGGGTGGCCTCGCGAGCAAAGGTGTCTGCGACAGGACGGCAGCTTGGCCCGCCGCTGCGCTCGGGTGAGCCCTCGGAAGCCATCCCGGGGTCGCGGTGGGGGCAGCCCCTTATTTTAGCCTCCCGAGGAGGAGGCGGAGGCGCCGGGTCCCGCCTACGGCGGTTTCCGCCCTCAGGAGCGCGCGGGGCCGGTGGTGCGAGGGCCTGTTTCTCCTCAGTCCGGGTGTTCCCCGCGGACTGAGGACCCCGCTGTCAGGACCCAGTGACCGTGCCGTGGTGTGAGCGGGGTGTCTGGGGCTTGTCCGCCCTTTTGGGACCCTGTTTTCACCTAACCGGGAAGTGGGAGGAGGGCAGCGCTGGGAGAGGCCTTCGGAAGATCCGACGCGAGGGCCTTTCCTGAGGGTTGCGGAAGGGAGACAACCCTGTCGCGTCAGGGGGACAGAACCCCGTCGCGTCCTTGGGTTTGAAGGACACCAGTCAGATCTGCATCGCAGCTCTTCCCCGGGTTACTGTCAAGACTGTGGGGAAGGGCCTGCCCACCTAGTCTGAGTTGGCGAAGGGTCGGAGCCCAGAGGTGGAATTTTGTTGTCATGTATGTAGTAATTGAAAGTGGGCTGACAGAGCGTTTACCAAGTAATTCCAAGGGACCTGCTGTTAAAAAATAACGAGTAATCATAACCAGCATATTTCTCTGGGTACAAACTTGAGCCTTGAAAGGAATTTGTAAATCTCAAATATTTTAAACTTTCCACAGAAATCTTTCCTATAGTAAATTATACTTTAAAAAATATATTTTTGAAATACCACAGATTTTGTTGTTTGGTTTAGATGTTTAATAATTGTCAACTATTTTTATTGAGTATCTACCGTGTATAAGATACTTGGCTTAGTCCTGAGAATATGAAATTATGGGCTATTTTAACTCATTACAATAATTTCTCCTAATCTCACCCCACAGTGATGGTCATTGTCCTCCAGAACAGGGATGGAGGAAATATCGGTCCAGGAAGCAGCAGGATCACCAAGGGTTTCATTTCAGTCTTTGGAGACCCAGTCTGAGTGTCTGTCCCCAGAGCCTCAGTTCCTGCAGGACACCGACATGGAACAGGGACTCACTGGGGGTAAGGCAGAGAGAGCACTTATATCCAGGAGAATGGGAGTATAGAAGAGCTTCTGGGTTTGGTATGACAGAGGCCAGGAACTTCAATAAGATGGTCTCTAGAGGGAGGTCTGGAAGGGAGGGACAACCATGACTCAGTTCAGTTCTGGGCTGGGCCCCTCTATTAAGGACAGCCCATCTTTCCTTAATAGGCAAAGTGGTCACTCACTCCACTCCAGCTGACTTTTGTTTATACAACCTTTGCTTCATCCCTGTTACCACATCCACAATAATTTCTAAGATACGTTGTTTTTGCTGCATCTCACAATCCTTGCCTGGCTTTTATTTCCTCTTAGGTTTAGGGCCTATCCCTACTCCCTTTCCTTCCTTGGTGACCTTTTGTGCGTTGCCACCTGCCATTCTGTTGCAAATGCAGTATTTGTGACTAATTTAATTTTGTTCAAGAAAGCACCCATTTAATTCCTTTGTTGAGCACAATGCCTGTATGAATGTATATATGTCACATATTGACTATACAATAACATTTTAATGTATAGATAGGTTGATCTGTCTTGTACTCCCTTTGTTTTGTAAGAATCGTATCTTAGAATACTTGTGGCCAACTGCAGTGAAATAACTTGTGTGTCAGCAACACTGAGTGCAAAAGTATGTAGAGTGCTGTGGGGCATTGTGGGAGTATGGAAAGGATTGTGATGAAACAGATTCTTAGGTGCCTTACACATTGGTTGCAGAGATAGTGCCCATTTACAAGAGAAAGACTTAGTGATGTTTATAGAACAAAGTCTAGGAAAGGGTCAGAATTCTACTTACTAGGTAACCATGGCCCTGGACAAGTCACTGCAAGTTCTTATGCTTTGCTTTGCCCATCTGCAAAACAGGTATAGTGTTTAAAACCTTGTATCATGGGTCTAAACATTTGTAAGCAGGGCATGCAAGTGCCAAGAAGGAACAGAGTAGACACACTTACTAACTGATAAGTGTTCATTGGTTTTACTAGAATGTTGGTGTGAAGAAGGGTCCTACTGACTCTCTTCTGTAAGGGAGCCCTGGGGAAGGGCTGCTCTCACTCTTGGCTCCTTTCTCCTCCCTTAGCTCCACCTGTTCCCCAGGTGCCTGCTCTTCCCCACGAGGGAAGCCCAGGAGACCAGGCAGCTGCGCTCCTGACAGCCAGGTACCAGGTGAGCTGAGGAACCTTCCGCTTTTCCTCAGGGACTGTTGCTGATTGAGTGTGGCCCTTCCCTCACCCTATCCATAAACCTTGCCTAGAATTTTTTTTCAGTAGCAGACCCCAGTTTCAGTATGGATCCTCTTCAGAGACCTGGACTTCACACAAACCACCTTCCCATTTTCCCAACACCACCAGCAAACACTGTTTCTTCTTTATTTCTAGTGTTGTGATGGGTGCTTATCAGATGTTAAAGGGTTATAGGACTTATTCCCTAGATTCTAATCTGTTCTCACTCCTCCCCGTCATTAATACACACTGGAGACTCTATATCATCTCCTTCATTCTCTGGCCGTGATGCTGTAGTGGCCTCATTCCCAAGAGCAGCCAGGCTGTGTTATTTCAGGAGTTTGTGACATTCGAGGATGTGGCTGTGCACCTTACTCGAGAGGAATGGGGATGCCTGGACCCTGTTCAGAGGGATCTCTACAGAGAAGTGATGTTAGAGAATTATGGGAACGTGGTCTCACTGGGTAAGGACTGTGTTTTTATTTATTCAGTTGACCTGTTGGGATTTCTTTATTGAGTAGGTGTGAGGTGTCTGAGAAAGTAGAGTTTGGCTCAGATTCCAGGTCTTAGAACCTCTGAATCCTCTATTTTTAAGGTCATCTCCTTTGGGAGTGGTTTTCCTTTGGGAGTTTCAAAACAAGACATTCTGTTCCTTATCCTGAGTTAATGGTTCCTGCTTTTATGGGGTATCTGTTCCCTGTTAGAAAAGGGAAACTTGCTTGTGCTTTGCCTAAGTTCTTATCTTCCCTATATTTTCTTTTCTTTTCTTCTTTCTTTCCTTTTTTTTTTTTTTTTTTTAAATGAGAGACTCTAGGGCCTCTCAACCCACAATCAGACACCTTCCTTTCCTGTATCTGAATTTTCCATTTTCTTTGGAAGAAGAAATGCTTTTTTAAAGATAGGCTTAAATCCTTCTTGTTGAGTAATCTCTCACCTCTTAAGATCCCTAAATTCATCTCCAAACAGGCAGAATTTGAGAGACTTCATTTAAAGGCATGACTCACTGTGAGTACATTTTATTGAGTCATCCAGATGATAATCCTAAATAACCTCATTCTGAGCAGAAGTCTTAGACTTAAACCAAGTCTCTCTTTTGTCATTTGGATGGTACAGTAGGCAGCCAAGATAAGGCAACCTGCAGGGCTGTGGAGGAGCATCACAGGGTTGTTGGCAGCCCTCTTGATGTGAGCATTTGCTCCTTTTTCTTTTTCTTTTTTTTTTTTTGCCTGTCTCTGCTTTTGTTTTATTTATTTATGTATGAATTTAATCACAGTTTTTCTTTTCTTTCTCTCTTTTTTTCTCTCTCTCTCTTTTTGCTTTGCCTTATGCTGGTGGCATCCAGGGTTGTTGCTTTGTCTCCTTGATTGCACTCAGGATTAAAGAGGTCTTCTTGTCTGTGGGGAGGCAGCCTGCCCACTGGGAAGGTTTTAGCGTGTTTTCCATTCCTGGCTCTTTGATCTTTATAGGCATACTTCTCCGTCTTCCCACCACCCGGATTCATAGTGTGAATTCCTGCCCGGCCCTGAGTCATACCCAGACAAGTGCTTTCTCTGGAGAAACACTTGCAGTCCTTTCAGCAGGAATCTCCAAGAGATGGCCCAAGTATCGGCTTCCCATCGATATTGCTCGTCCCCGCTCGGAAACTCCTTTTCCACGATTATAAGATATTACACTTGATTGATGGAATAGATGCTCCCAGGATGCCACCACTATGTAAAATTGCAGCTCCTCAAATGACCTTTGTTAAATTTCAAAAGGGCCAAGGTAGCCCTCGGTTGCAACCAGATGCATTTTGTATCCTGAATTTTGAGTTCATTCAGAAGCCATGGTTGGTAGTCATCTACTTGTGTTCTGAGAAACCACAAAGTTCAACTCCAGCTCTTCAGTTATGATCTTTTAATGTTATTTTAGAATGTGGAATGTTTGCTGTGCGCCCCTCCTTTTCTGTAGTGAACAGGACCTGCCCCTTCTGATCCCTAACTCCTGTGACTCCTGGGCTTTCCTCATATTTAACATTCTAGTCTTCTTCCTTTAAGTCCCTGTGGCCGCCTCCAAAGTCCTGCCTTTGCTCCCTTTACTCTTTGTTGCTAAACAGATTGATGCATTTACATGACTTTTCCTGATTAAGTGTTCCTTAGCTCTATCCTTGGTGGAGGGGAAATGGGAGGGGAAAAGAGTTCCATTTCTTTATTTCAGGGTGTCAAATTGAATGTATATTTAACAGCTTTGTATACTGTAAAGTGATATGTAATTGTAAGATACTGTAAATTTTATCTAATAATTATATAATTTCCAACAGTTAATCTGTCTACTTTTTGGAGTAAAGAAACTTCTTAGCAGCTTAATAAGCCTAATAGCACAGCATGCTGTTCAACTGAATTTCATCCCATTTCTTCTCACACACAGTACATGCATACATACTAACACATACTGGGCACAAATGCATACAAAAATCCTCCTACTCAGTTTGCTTTTGTGACCATCAGGAGCATCTCCTTAGTAATTATTTCTTAAGTCCTTGGAAAGACCTTTCATATTTGTGGGTTCAGCAAACTCCACATGAGTTTTCAAGTTATACACTTAGTTAGCTTAGTGTTAGTTTTATAATATAAGGACTCTTACAATTCAGTCCCTGACTTAGCAGCCCTACTTTATAGTTCACATCTTTCTCATGATAGTAACTCTGAGTTGTATTTGTCACAGACATCACAACTTGGGTTCTTTGGTTAAGTGCTTTGACTACATTGTAGTCAATATACAGAATATGGACAGCTGAGTAAAAGAGTAAAAAAGTAGGTAAAAGGCCATAATTTTCATTACCAAGTCTAAAAAGAAACATATTCTATTGACAGTGTTTGAATTACTGTCTTGAGGGTCATACCTAAAGGGAAATTGTCTGTGACTTAGTGCTTAAAATTAAGTACTGAAGATTAAGACTGAGAAAGAATGGGGCAGAGTGGCAGGTGCCTGATTAGGTGACAGCATTAGCAACATGTTTATCAAAATTCTAGTTGATGATAAGTGAGTTGATAAATCAGGAATGTTTGGCACATAGCCCCTAACACTTTGAAGTTTAATATTCTGAGGACAAAAATGATTTTGTATACAATGTCTTTTACTGCCACAGCTATTAAACTATTTCCTGAGCAACCAATATATTCCTAGGTACTTATATATGTCTCACTTAATCCTTACCATACATAACCCTGTGAGCAACTAGTACTCTGTTTTGTACCTGAGGAAACTGAGGTTCAGAGAAGTTGAGTGATTTCACTCAGGGTCAGAGCTAGGCTTGAGACTCAAATCTGACTTTGAAACCCATGCTCTTTTTTCACTATTTTGTACCTTAGAACAATTAGTCAAACCACATATGGTGTTTTTTATATTTTCATGGCTCTGTACTCTGATGATAATTAAAAATGGCTATGATAAATTGAATAGACAGGCAGGCATAAAGCTGTATAGTTTGGGAGCAGAAAGGATATACATTCAAGAAGTAAAATTGTCTAGGGATATATTCCATTATAATAAGTATATACACAAGAACAGTATTGTTAAGGAGAAATTTTATCTATTTTATTCCTCACCAGAGAATACTTTTCTATTTATCATCAGATAGAGTCGGAGGGAGGGGGAGAGAGAGAGATACAGAAACATTGATGTGATAGAGCCACAACGGTTGGTTGTCTCCAGGGGTCGGGGACGAACTGCAACCGGGACATGGGCCCTTGGCCGGAATCGAACCCATAACTCATTGGTCTGCGGGCCGATGCTCTAACCGCTGAGCCAAACCAGGTAGGGCAAGAGATTTTATTTGTGTATTTGTTAAGGAACAGGAAGAAGGGCATGAAGCTTCTAAATGGCTAAATCTTAGCACAGCTCTGGTACAGACAGGAAACCAAATAATGAGTTTTTTTTTTTTCTTAATCCCTTCATCTTTTAATACTAAGGTATATTTGAAATGTTATTGTTAAAAACCAGATTAAGTAAAAATAAATCTAATTAGAAAATGATCAAGGTTTAAATTAAAAAATAAAAAAGATTTTAATAAATGAGAGCTTGAGCTAGGAAAAAATTTTAAGCAAATGATAATTTTGAAGGCACAGATTTTTGCATTTATATTCAGATAGAGTGGGAGGGAGAGGGGGGAAGAGAGAGAGAAACATCAATGGAAACCAAAGAGTTTTGACTTAAATTTAGGAAAAGGCATTTACTTATTTATTTATTGATTGATTTGAGAGAGAGAGCAAGAAACATTGATTTGTTTTTTTCACTTATTTATGCATGCATTGGTTGATTCTTTTTTTTTTTTTTCTTTATTGATTTTAGAGAGTGAGGAAGGCAGAGGGAGAGAGATAGAAACATTGATGATAGAGAACATTGATTGGCCACCTTCTGCATGCCACCCACTGGGTATTTGGCCCACAACCTGGGCCCTGACCTGGAATTGAATTGACAACTTCTAGATGCATGGGCTGAAACTCAACCACTGAGCCACACCAGCCAGGCTATTGGTTGATTTTTTTTGTTAATCCTCACCTGAGGACATTTTTGCGTTTATCTTCAGATAGAGCTGGAGGGAGAGAAGGAGGGAAAGAGAGAGAAACATTGATGTGTCTCTTTCACATTGAGTAGTTGCCACCCACATGACCCCAACCAGAGCCTGGGACAAACCACAACCAAGGTACATGCCTTTAGCGGGAACAGAACCTGGACTCTCTAGTCTGCGGGCCGATGCCCTAACCACTGAGCAAAACTGGCCAGGGCGATTCTTGTTTGTGTCCTCACCGGAGATCGAACCCACAGCCTTGAAGTATTGGGACTGCTCTAACCAACTGAGCTACCCTGCCAGGGCAGGAAAAGGCATTTAGACCAATGGCAAGAAAACCTGTCTTAATGCTTTCTGTGACCCTTAGTGTGGTAGATTAGAAAGAATATAAAATGTGGAATTAAACTTGGGTTCCAATTACCAGCTGTGATATATTGAGAAAATATGTAAACTGACATTCATTTTCTTCATCTATAAAACATGAAAAATAATTATATTTCTGGTTTGTGTCAAGGATTAAATTAGATTATGTTTGTAATTACCTGGCTCATAGTAGTTACTCAGTTACTCAGATGTTTGTTTTGAAAGTACAGCAAGTGATATGAGCTGTAGTCCAGATTTTTTAATACAAACTAAAATTTTCAGAGAGTGTTCAAATTTCTTTATAGTAGAATTTCCTCAAATTGAATATTGTTCTGACTGTGTCTAGGATTTGGATTTTTATTATAAAGAGAGTTACATTTCTTTAACACTAATGATCTTTTAGATCCCTTTTGGTTAAAATATCCGTGACTCTAAATCTGTTGGATCCTGGCTTTCTAGTCACTATGTCTCTGTTTTTTTCATTGTGTTTATCATTTATTCCATTATCAATATATTGGTCTTTTGTTTTGGAAGAAGGAATGGATTTCATTCATAATTATTATTTTTTCACTAGTAGATTATTTAATAGCCAGGTTCTGAAATAAGACTGGGTTTGTGCCCTAGTTTAGTCACTTATAACCTTGGGCAAGTTAATTAACCTCTTTGAATCTTAGTTTTCCTATTTTAAAATGGGTACAATAGTGACTACTTCATAAAGGTTTGGTGAGTATTAAGTGAGTGAAAGCTTGTACAGCTCTTGGCATGGTTCTTTGTACCTATTATCTGCTTAGTAAACCATAGCTTAATATTTTGATGTTACAGGTGACTTTAAGTCTATATCTCAAACTCTGTTCTCTTTTGAATTTCAGTCTTGTATTTCTAACTGCCTGCTAAGCATTTTCTCTTACACCTTTCTACATTATCTTAAACACAAGTCTAAAATCAAAGCCCTCATTCTATATCAAGACAATCTTTGTTGTACGTGACTTAAGTGTGGATACAGAGTAAATAACCAAAATTTGTTTCAGTTATCAAATATGTAGAAACACCTTAATAAATATCTAAAAATTAAGTTACAAATTATGTTATCAGGATTCTGAGCAGATTAGTTGCTGCTTCATGCCACAATATTTTAAAAAATTTTTATTATTATTTTTTTAATCCTCACCTGAGGATATTTTTACATTATCTTCAGACAGAGTTGGAGGGAGGGAAGGAGGGAAGTGGGGAGAGAGAGAGAGAGAGAGAGAGAGAGAGAGAGAGAGAGAGAGAGAGAGAAACATCGAAGTGAGAGAGACACATTGATTGGTTGCCACCAGCATGACCCCAACCAGGACTGGGGATGAACTGCAACCGAGGTACATGCCCTTGGCTGGAATTGAACTTGGGACTTCCCGGTCCACAGGCTGATGCTCTAACCACTGAGCAAAATTGGCCAGGGCCACAATAATGTTTTTTTATTTTTTATTTATTTTTTTATCCTCATCCAAGGACATTTTTTTTTTTTTGCATTTGTCTTCAGATAGAGAAAGAGGGAGAGAGGGAGGACTAGAGAGAGAGAGAAACATCGGTGTGAGAGAGACACATCGACTGGCTTGCCACCCACACCACCCCAGCTGGGGCCAGGGACAAACCACAACCGAGATACATGCCCTTAGCGCGAACCGAACCCAGGACTCTCTGGTCCACAGGCCAATGCTCTAACTGCTGAGCCAAACCGGCCAGCGCCACAATAATGTTTTTTAAACTTGCAAAACTATTTCATTTGACATGGAAGACCTTAACTAAATATGTGTCCAAAAGGAGTCTAATAATGCCCAGAAGGAATTCAGAAACACAGTAAATAAATGTCTTTTTTATATCTGTTCTTATCTCTCTGCTTTTAGGCTTTCACATGGAATCCCAAGAGGGTGGCTATTGGTTTATCGTATTTTACAAGCCCAACATCCTTTTAAAAACATGGATTATTTGTTATATGTTGTCACTTAGACACAAAATTGGCACTCAATGAGTAGCTCTTAATTAAATGAATCAAAAGAATTACAAGATACAAGATACATGATCCCTGCTATCAAAGAGTTTATAAATCAGGTAGGGATGGTGATACCTGAAACCAATTTAAAAATCTATAAATTCTATTATATAGTGACATGTCAGGATAAGAGAAACAGGTAATAAATTTTGTAGATACTCAGTAAGTGAAGAGAAAGACTTTTGGAGATGAGAGGCTTGAGCTAGACCTTGTATGTGTGCTCCTGGAAGCTTTTTGGGTTGAACATACGTAAAAAATGCCCCTTTGTTACTATAATAGTTCTGCCCCTTCAGAATAAGACTGCCTTTTACTTCCACTTTAAAACAGATTAGATCCTAGCAGTCCATTATGCAAACCAGAGAAAGACCATTTTATGTGAAGATGCACTTTTATTGCACTTTCCTCACTATATTATATTATAGTTAGTTGTTTAAACCTGTTTCTGCAGTTAAGAGTGTAAGGTTCTTGAAGGAATGGACCTGATCTGCTTGGGCCTTTTATCCCCTATATACTTTGCATATAGGGGGCACCCCATAAATGTTTGTTGAATAAAAAAAGAGTATAAGCTCCTAATGGATGAGGATGTGTCATATTATTATTTGTTTCTTCATGTGAATTGAATTGTTTCTTGAAATTGATCCTAGAAATATTCAGTCTTCACTGATTCCGTTGCTATAGTTCATCTCACCATACAACAGGTGCTTGAATATTCACTTTTCTCCAGTCCAGCAAGGTTATATTTTGATGACCTCAATTTTGACCAGGTCTAATACTGTATACCAGGTCTAATACAAGATTGACCTAGAGACAACAGGTGAGGAGTGATGATAATTCCTGTGAAGTTATCCCATGCACAAATTCCCTTGTCTGAGTAATGTTTAAATGAATACTGTTGTCTCAAAAGTCATAAACTTGCTCCTTAACAACATACCTCTTTGTAGAGCACAAATAGGAGCTCCTTGTAGAGAACCTTTGTCACTTTCACTCTCCAGGCCTTCCTAATGTCTTCTAAGAATTTACTTTCTCTCTCCATTAACCATTAGTTAAGAGAAAAAGTGGCTGTTATGGTATCTGGGGATAAATTGCCACATCCCATTTCCTTCTCTATGAGCAGGATTTCCAATTTCCAAGCCTGATGGGATCTCTCAGCTGGAACAAGATCTACAGGTCTTTGATCTGGAAACTAAGAATAGAGAAGTCTTAAGAGATGACTGCTCAGGTGAGTAAGGTAGAATCAATCAGATGGAACTAGTCCAGTTGTTGAGCCAAGTTGTAGCTGCTTTGGCAATCAGAATGAAGAGCTCTCTGTCTGTATCCTAGAATGGAGAACTTCATTTCCTTTTCCCTTCATTTTTTATTTTTTTTTAAAATTTTTAATTGATTTTTAGAGAGAGAGAGAGGAAGGGAAAGAGAGAGAGAGAGAAAGAAACATTGATTGGCTGCCTCCTGCACACCCTCTATCTGAGATTGAGCCCGCAACCCAGGCATGTGCTCTAACTAGGAATTGAATTGGCAGCCTTTTGGTACACAGGACAATGCCCAGTCAACTGAGCCACACTGGCCAGGGCTTCCCTTCAGTTTTGATGCACTCTTTGCATTTATTTTGTCCCTTATCATCCGCAGTTGTACTAGTCCTTATTCAAGTTGCTTAGTTATAGTTCTTTTGAACTATTTCCCTATTTTCTCCTTTGAGATACCTTAATTGGTTATCTTCTTCTGCTGAAAGTACCTTCTGTATCTACCACACCCTGAACCATTTAGATCCTACCTCACTGTTTCTATTCATGCCCTTATATTTGCTGTTGAGATTTTGTGCGTGTGTTTCAGAGTAAATAAACTCTTATCTTGATAGATAGTAGGTTATTTAGTTTTTCTTCTCTGAGTTTTCTTTTTCTAAGCATAGGGTACAGATTACATTTGCATTTTCTATTTATATATTGAATCAGATGGAGAAGCCAGAGAAGAGAACAAGCTGTTGATTCCTAAGCAGAAAATTTCAGAAGTTCATTCATACAAAATGAGAGTAGGAAGACTCCAAAAGGATATCGCCCAAGTTCCTGAGACTAGAGAAGTATATAAACCTGAGGACAGATTAGAAAGGCTTCAGGAAATCCTAAGGAAATTTCTATTCCTGGAGAAAGAGTTTAGGCAAATAACAATCAGCAAGAAAACTTTCACCAGTGAGAAGAACAATGAATGTAATGAACCTGAAAAAAGCTTCAGTCTGGAATCTGTCCTTGATACAGACCAGAGAGATCTTAGAATACAGAACATTGAAGACATTGATAAGTATGACATTAGCCTCAACCAGAATTCAGCTGCTGAGAAACATGAACAAGTAAATCTAACACAGGATTTTCAGAGTAGTGAATATAAAGAAAGCTTAATGGATCTCTCCCACCTTAGTAAATGTGAGAGCATTCCCACCTCTGAGAAATCCTATAAATGTGATGCATGTGAGAAAATCTTCCATCAGAGCTCAGCCCTTTCTAGACATCAGAGAATTCATACTAGAGAAAAACCCTACAAATGTAAAGAATGTGAAAAATCTTTCAGTCAGAGCTCAAGTCTTAGTCGACATAAAAGAATACATAGTAGAGAAAAACCCTATAAATGTGAAGCGTCTGATAAATCCTGTGAATTATCTGATAAGTCCTCTAGTCAGAGCTCAAGCATAATGAAGCATAAAAGGATTCACACCAGAGCAAAATCTTATAAATGTAGCAATTGTGAAAGAGTCTTCAGTCGTAGTGTACATCTAACTCAACATCAGAGAATTCACAGAGAGATGCCCTGTAAGTGTACTATAGGTGGCAGTGACTTCTATCATACCTCATACCTAGTTGAACATCAGAAGGTTCACTGTGAAGAGAAAGCCTATGAATACAATGAATGTGGGATGGCCTTTATTAAGCATCAAGGAATTCGTCTCAGAGAAAAGCCCTATACATGTAATGAATGTGGAAAAGACTTCAGGTTGAATTCCCATCTTATTCAGCATCAAAGAATTCACACAGGAGAGAAACCACATGAATGTAATGAATGTGGAAAAGCTTTCAGTCAAACCTCATGCCTTATTCAGCATCACAAAAATCATAGAAAAGATAAATCCTCTGAGTGTAATGATTATGAGGAAAATTTTAATCATAGCTCAGATGTTCTGCAACAAGAAGTCCTCACCAGAGAAGAAGCCTTTGATTGTGATGCATGGGAAAAGAACCTCATTCAGAGAGCACAACTTGTTCAGCATCAAATAATTCATACCAAAGAGAAACCTTATGAATGTAATGAAGGTGGGAAGACATTTAGTCAAGTTCAGGCCTCATTCAACATCTGAGAATTCACTCCAGGGAGAAATTGTGTGTACTGAATGTGGTAAAAACCTTCAGTCATAGCTCAACCTTTATTCAGCATTGGCGAATCCATACCAGAGAGAAACTCTCTGAATGTGATGAATGTAGGAAAGTTTTTAGTGCTAAACTCTTAATGCCTGTAAACCCATACCAATGAGAAAACCTGCGAATATATTGAATGTGGTAAATGCTTCATGTTATGTTCATTCCTTAGTCATCATTGGAGAATTCACACAGGAATAATATTCCATCACTGTAATGAATGTGAAAAAGCCTTCTTCAAAGAAATTACCTTGTTCAGCATCAAATTCATTCCATGCAGAAAGCCTATGAATGTAATAAATGTGTGTGTGTGTATGAAGATTCAGTCATATTTCAATCCTCATTCAACATCAAAGAATCCATACCCAAGAGAAGCCATTGACTATAGGAGTTCAAGTCTTTTTCATCATCAGAATATCTACACCAGACCAGAATCTGATATAATTCAAATGGAAAAAATTTACTGCCATATTTCAGGCTTTACACAACATTGAAATATTGGAGAGAAAATTGTTGATTATTTGTATATGAAATCGTTAATATATAGTACCAGTCTTTTTCCCTTGCAGAAGAATCTAGCCTAAGGAGTGACATGGTGAATGCAGTACTGTTTTCTCATGGCATTCTTTAATATAATAGGTGTTGTAAGTAACTATGTATACTTTATTTATGGAATTCGTTGAAGCTATTTTTATTTTAATATGGCTTATAAACATTTTTCCTGAAATTGGTATGTAACATGCACAGCTTCCCTAAGATATTGTAATTACACCAATGTTAAAACAGCAGCATCTGAAAGTAGCTCATTTAGCCTTTTCTCCTGTTCTCAGCCCAAGTTCTCTCCAAAACAAACTGTTAGGCCTGCTCTTTTCTGGAGACCCTATTTCCTGTTTGTTTCCAGCCACAACACTTGGATTCCTGTTGATTTCTCCATTCTCTTAAGCGCCTTCAAATGATGATTTCCTAGTTTTAAGCTTTACACCAGCAGGTATGCCATCTCTACTTGATGTTGCTGTTCTGGTGTCTTCTTTCCCAAAATGAAGCATCTTCTTTTAAAAGAATTGGATTTCCACGTCCTGTTCACCTATGAGTATGAAGGATTCTGCCTTCCCTGAGTTTATGATGGGCAGCTAAACATTTTCAAGTGATGCCCAAGTTCTTAGCTGCCTTGTTTGCATCCATAGCCCACTAAAAAAGATGATAAGGACATCAGGGAGCCAAAAAGACTCCTTGTGGTGTAACTACATTCATTCGGCATCTACTCTGCATGTCTAAGTTTAGAATTATTTTATATACTTCCATTGAAGGCCAGCAAAATGCTCAGGTCTGCTTTTGATAGGGCAAAACATAAAGAACATATACTAAAAGATGAGAGAGCTTCATAAGGCAGAGGGCTCAGCCTTCCAATAAAGATATTGCCTTTCTTATGTAATATCTCTAAAGAGTATTTCAAGAGAGTTGGAAATTCTGTTCCTGGTAAAATTTTAATAATTAAGATTGCTTCTTTATCTATTTCCATTGCCACCCCCAATCTCCCCTCAACAATCTAGGACAGTATTTGAAGTGTGGGGGTGTTGTGTATAGTTATTTATTCATTATCACATTTTTTATATTTTATTAGCGTCTACAGGCCATATAAAAGAACATGATTTTCTTGATTGATAAAATGATCACAGATGTTGGCTCCAGAGTTCAGGGTCACCATCATAACACCTAGCAACAGCTTATGATTCTTTACATGATGTCAAAGCATTTTATTATATTTTTCCATCTTAAGCTTCATAATATTTTGTGAATAAGACAAGTGTTATTTAAAATTCTAGTTGTCATTCCAGCAATTGAGGTCTTCATAGTTCAGATGTTATAATATTCCACGAGGGATCCTCAACAAATAGATAAAAATGTTACTTACTTTATAAGCATTTTACGGCTAACCGCTAGGATAGTTCTACCAGTATATTGTACCTCTTAGCCATCAGCAAGCATAGGATCTAATCAGGGCAAGGTAGGGATCTAAATGGATTGATCTAAATGTAAAATCAAATGAAAATGCATGTTTTTTGTTTTGTTTTTTTCTGTCAATGAATGTGTATACTTTTATGTATAGAGACCAATAGTCACCTATGGTGATTATGAAACAGATGATTAAGTAATCCCTAAATAGCAGAATATATAAAATCACATGTATGCATTTGATTTAGGAATGTGCTTTTGTATTTCCACTTGAATAAAGGTGTGTTTGATACTCTGAGAATTTGTTTCAAATAAAATCTGAAGGCCTTAGCCATAAACATTTGGACATTTGGGAATCACCTTTCTGGCTGCAACTCAGTTTCTTCTAGAAACCTGTTTCATAACAAGAGTAGATCATTCTCCTGCATATTGATACACACCTGCTCTTTCACAGAACTCTTGAGGAATAAGTGTGTGTTTAAATAAATAAAACACATTTTATGAATTAGAAACCAAATATCCTTGAGTTCACTTTAAGCTTGCTGATATTTAATTGGTCCAATATAATATGAGTTTGTGTTCTTATTCTTTTTAGTCTTGATGTTGGAGGGGGAAGAGAAGAAATATAATAGTTGAGAGCCACCTAATTTTATCTTTATCTGTCCACCCACCTACATGTACATGTGTGTATGTTCATATTCAGACTTAATTCTCACATCTCTGCAAGGGAACTAGCTTCATTTTACAGAGGAACTAAGGTATAGAGAAGTTGAAGAACTTATTAGGGTCACCACAGCAAGTTCAAAGTTAGGTGTGTTTGACTACAAAATTTTCCACCATCATGAAGTTGGTATTAGATACCAACCAGAGAAGTTTTCTTTGATCACCCTCATTCTTGTTACACTCCAGTGATTCACTAGTATCAGTTTGCAACTGATCCTAAATGCTCCCAGAGCTCTCTGGAATATTAGAAGAAAAGATCCCAGTATCTTTTGGGAGTTAGTCAGAGATGACCCCCCTCCCCCGAAATAGGCTTAGACAATTTTGACAAGAGGTCACAGATCAAAGCTCCTGAATTCCTATCTCCTGCCAGGTCGCCACCACTCCTGTCACTGGATTTACATTTCCATTTTTCAGTGCCCAAACATGCTCTAAATTTTGCTGCTAACTAGAACTTGCTGATGGACAGGTATTTTTACCAAGATTTACTATCACCTCTGGTTATGTTATAGCAGTGGAGCAAAGCAGTATTCGGAAGATCAAGTTTGATTCCTATGTTCTAGCTTGAGCAAAAGAGTATCCAGATAGAAGTAGACTGGAGAGATATGGGGTATGCTGGAAGAGGAGCAAGGAGAACATTTCAGGCAAGAGAGCATGTCAGAAGGCCTACAGATGAGAGTGTGACATTTTCATGGTAATAAATGAGCTCTCTGGAGAAATGCCTCACCCAAGGTATGAGGGTAATTGATGAAATTTAAGAACGAAGTTCAAAAGAGACTCCTGGGGTATCATCTCAGTAAAGCATAATGGGATTCCCACAACTACAAATGTAACCTTATCTACCCCTTCATTCAGTAATACAGTTGCCTGATGCTATGATTTTCAGTGCTAGTCAAAGGATACAGTTAACCTCATCGAATGAAACCATCCATTGAATAAAGACAAATTAGTTGTCAAAGCGATAGCTTTGGAATTAGACATACCTATGTTTGAATATTGCTGTTTACTAGCTGTGTGATTTTGGAAATTTTTCTTAGCTTCTCTAGTTTTCTTGTTTATACAATGTGGTTAATAACAGCATGAAAATTAAAGAAATAATGTAAAAGGTACTGGTCATATAGTAGGTACCAGAAAGTTATTAGTATAAATACTACTATAAAAGCCAATAAAAATAGAAGACAGATGTTTAGGTAGAAGAGAGATACAATGTAAAGAGAATTAATGAACAAGCATTTAACAGTGCAGGACTAGTATTGTCCAGGGTGGGATGTTCTGAGTTTGGAGAACATAAACATGACCAGAGAAAACATCAGGCATCCTGGGCTGCCTACTGACAGGCACTCCTTGTTGGAGTCAGCAGACTGACATCTGTGTCTTCCAAAATTTGTACCATATGAGTTCATATTTTCAAAATATGAGTGCATGAAAGAACTATTGTTTAATCCAAGACTAAGAGTGATTTCAGTGAGAAATCAGATAGTGCCCTGTACAAATCAACAAGAAAATAATGCTGGAATTTTTTATTTTCCTGATGCATCCTATTCACTCCACTTTTAGAAAATGGTTAACCTCTTGTATTTCATTCATGTTTATAAATTTACAACTTGGGCATAATTACAAGTGTCTTGTCTTTTTTTCCCTTCTCTGCGGTCGCTCATACTACAAATCTCCATGCAGTCTTTATTGTCCTTCCTGGATGCAGTTAGACACCAGGCTCTGGTTTGAATAGATCAGGGTTCAAATGCTGCTGCTAGTTGCTTACTAACTGCAACTTCTGGCATGTAAGATAGTAAAAAGTACCACATTTATGGGATTGTTGTGAGGATTAATGAGATAGTGTCAGTTTAAATGCTCCACAAGTGGTCGCTGTTAATCTCGAATTTAGCAGGAATCTACCCCTACCATTACTCATTTCCTTAACCGGTTTTCCTGCTTCAGCATATCAAATGTGACTCTGGCAAATCTGTACTGCAGGCATAGTAGGGTTTTTGGATCGTGACCTCTCTAAGGCTTTTCTCCCTCATATTGGTATATGTTCCAATATGTTCCTCCTGCTTGTTTATACACTCCGGGGAAAACTGGCAGGGGCTGGGTTGAAGCCACAAAGGGAAAGGAGGACAGGGTGGACTGAGGGCCTAGCTAACCTTAATTTGGGACCAGCGGGTCAACCTGACCTGTGATTTTGAAGGAGGTGAGATGGGTGGTAAAACGGCATGATTCAAGCAAAGGAGACAAACGGGGTGCACACAGGGTCAGAGGGCATGAGGAAGAAGGAAACAACCAATTTAGATCCTTGGCCCACTTAGCTATAAAGGGCAAATAGAGAAATATGTTTCATCCTCCTACAATCCTTCCTGAGGGAAGGACAAACATGGAAGGAGATCTCATTTCCACATTTTTCTGGACCCAGCTCCCCAGTGGCCCCTAGAGATCCTGCGATGGAGAATAAACCTCCGAACTGCCTAGATGGAACCTGGAAGTGCATGCCAAGGAACCTGAGTTTCCAGGCTACCCCTGGAGGCCAAAGTTGCCAACACTGAGGAGCTCACAGATTGGGCTGGGCAAGTGAGTGTAGGGTACCAGCGACCTTGACCAGGGAGGGACTGTGTGCTTGGACTGGACTGCGGCAGGGCACTTGGGCTGGGGGGATCAAGGGACTACGGTAGAATTGAGGTGGAGCCACCACCAGAACCTGCTGGATCCTGGCCCAGGCAAAGCCCCTGGGGCCACAGGCCACCTGCTGGTGCTGCTGGCTGGTGGACTTCTCTCTCAGCAGGACTCAGCAGGCCTGGAGAGAGAATGAAGTTTCTCAGACCTTTTCTTGGGGTGGGAGTCTCTCCTGGGAAAGCTTTACCTCCCATTTTCCCTATATTTGAGCTCTTCTTCCACCATTTCCTGAAGTGACTGCTCGTCCCTTGTGTCATGTTCTGACGAATTTTTAGAGAAGATCTTGGCCTTGGAGTGGCACTGTGGATTGGGCCAAGCTCATGGAGAAGCTGCCTGAGCAGATGTCCCCGAAGTCCCTGTTTCCACCCCTTGCGCAGGAGTCTGGAAAGAGCAAGGGTGAGGAGGTAAACTAACTGGCTTTCTTTGTCTAGACTTTTCCCTTCTAACTGGGACCTGATTAGATGATTAGATGAACATGATTAGCCTTGCACTTAGAATTGCCCTGGAGCAAGACTACTGATTACCCCTCTCCCCCAAAGCTCTACTGCATGTAAATAAAGCCTGTAACTAATGTTTCCTCTCTGACTGTGTCCAGCAAACCTGCGGTAGCACTACCATAGCACTAAGTCTTGAGGAGCTATCATTTCAGCACCTGCTAACTTGCTTGGTCTTTGGAGAAGCTAGGTGAATGTTGTGTGGATAAATAAGTGAATGAACCCAGCAAAATATGTCCCATACTCCAAGTACCATGAAAAAAGTAGACTCCTCCCCTCATTCTACCCAAGCTCTCCTTCACCATTAGGGAAGATACATTTTCTACTCAAGGTATGAACTGCAAGGGGGTGCCTGCCTATGGAGTACAGTAGACAAGCCAGCCACCTGCTAATGGAAAATGAGATTAATCCATAAATATTCACATTTTAATTTCAATCTTCCATCTCACAATTATCTGATATATATGTCTGGCTATTTAAAAAAGTGGACTTGCCCTGGCCAGTTTGGCTCAGCGGTTGGAGTGTCGGCCTGTGCTCCAGAGACCTGGGTTTGGTTCCCGCTAAGGGATGTACCTCGGTTGCAGTTTGTCCCTGGCCCTGGTTGGGTCATGCGGGTGGCAACCACTCGATGTGTCCCTTTCACATCGATGTTTCTCTTTCTCTCTCCCTCTCTCTCTATCTGAACAAAAAATGGAAAGGTGTCCTCGGGTGAGGATAAAAAATAAAATAAAATGTTCTTAAAAAAGTGGACTTGATTATTTAATTGGAGAATAAAGGCTTGGATATTATGCACATCATGAACTTTGAGATGGCTTATGTTTGGGGAGGTTTTCTTTCACACACATAGCCACCTAAGGGTGTTTTTAGGCTAATATTTCATTCAACGAGTGTTTAATTATTATTTATGAGGCATTGAGACTAAGTTGAAAGAAAACCTAACCCCTACCCACCCACAAGCCTAGAGGAGTTGGAATAGTTAATTATGAGAGGCTATTGGACAATAAACAGTATGGATCCCTGTGAACTGGATGTGAGCCCAGGAAGTCTTACAATGGTTCTCAATCCTCCTAATGCCACGACCCTTTAATACAGTTCCTCGTGTTGTGGTGACCCCCAACCATAAAATTATTTTTGTTGTGACTTCATAACTGTAATTTTGCTACTGTTATGTCTTAGGCGACCCCTGTGAAAGGGTCGTTCGACCCCCCAAAGGGGTCGCGACCCACAGGTTGAGATCCGCTGCCTTAGAAAGTCATGAGTTTGGCACTGGAAGAATTTAGAGTAAGAAAGGAGTCAGGTTTTAGATGAGAGAGGATAGAATAGGCCCTTACCACAGTTTCCTTGCTGTTAGTCTTTATAAGAGGCCAAGTGCTCATATTCACCTTTCTAAAATACTAATTTATTCATATTTTGAGTCCATACTTCATAAGCTAGCACTGAATCCTCTACAGTGGCCTCAACTCAACTTAAAAGTCTTACCTCAGTATTCCCCAAGACAAACCCAGCAAGAGTGCTGTGTCTGGCCTGCCTAGTGTGGTTCAGTGATTGAGTGTTGACCAAGAGGTTGTCAATTCGATTCTGGGTTAGGGCACATGCCCAGGTTGTGGTCTCAATCCACAATGGAGTGTGTGCAGGATGCAGCCACTTGATGTTCTCTCTCATTGATGTTTCTATCTCTCTCTTCCTTTCTCTCTCTCTAAAACCATTTTAAAAACTAATAATAAAAAAAGAAAAATCTCAAAAACAGTGGTATGTCTGCAAAAGGTAACGCAGAAGACACTTTGTGCTACCTACTGTTGTGCATTTGTGTCCTTTTACTCACTTGCATTGCTGTTTCCTACATTCTCTGCCTATCCAAACTCCACACATCTCAAAATCCTGTGAATGAAGACTCAGTGCAGGACAGTTTCTTTCATGAAGCTTCTGAAACAGACCAGGGCTGTGAAGAAGGAAATAATCAGATGCAAGAGACGTTTACATGGAAACTTGCCAGGCTTGGTGGTTTGTTGAGCAGTAGAGGGAAGTTGGCTACAATTGCCTTTGTTCCCTTCACTGTTAAACCTTACAAAAAAATCTTCACCAGTTGCTAGTATCTTTGTGATTGGCATTCACTTCTCAACACAGGGCACTATTTCTGCTCCATCAAAACTGGTTATATCCAAGTTCCCATGGCTTAACTAATGAACCTATTGGACACATTTTTTAAGCCCTAATTTTTTGACCCCCCTTTTTTTTTTTTTTTTTTTTTTTATGATCACTCTTCCTTGTTTTTTGATTTTGAAAGCACCATTTTCTGCTGGTCTGCCTCTTGCTTTTTCAGGGGCCTTTCCCACTCTTGATTTCTTCACCTGTTCCTTAAACATTGATTTTCCCCTAGACTGTTCTCAGCCCTCTCCTTTTTTCACTTCTGTGGGTGATCCTATCTTCTTCCATGACTTTAGTTACCACTATATGCTACTCTTGCTTCCAGCTGATGCCTGAATACTAGATGTTCTTATGCCACTTCTGAGCTCATCCTTTCTGCCATACCCCATCTTACTTTCAATGACTACCTTGGTTAATTTTGGTAACTGGTTTTCCTAAGCCGGAAAACTTGTAGTCATCCTCCACTATTCTCCTTCCCTTTATATGCAGTCGCTAAATCCTATCAATTTTTCTTCAGAAAGACCTGATTCTGTTGCCTATTACTTCAACTTCCTTATTTTAGGCCCATCATATTTTATGGGTTGGTGACACAGCCCTATGCTATTGGTCATTTCCCCACCGCTAGGCTCTCCTCCATACAGCTGCCAGAATAAACTTTCCTGGAAATGAGTCTGACCATATTATTCTCTGCCCAGATAAAGTCCAAAATCCTGAGTGTGGCTTACATGTCTCTTCATTATCTGGCTCTACTCTATTTTTCTGCCATATCTTCTGCTTATACTTCAGTCGCATTAAATTTTTTTTCATTAGGCCTTAAATTTAGTATTCCCTTTTAGCTTTCTGATCTTTAGCACATACTGTAATTTTTGCTGAAACACTCTTTACCTTGTTGATCCTGGTCATAGTTCAAGACCTAGCTCAATGTCATTCTTTGAGGATGTCATACCCAACTCACCTAGGTAGGGAATATCATTTCTAATTTTGTGCTTTGAAGCACTTTGGTCATATATATCCATTTCAATACCTATACCAGTATATTGCACATAGTAGGTGGTTTGTATGTTTGTTGATTGGTGAAAAGCAAACAGGAAGTATATTAGTTTCCTATATAGAGCTGCTATAACAAATTGCCGCAATTGTATGACTTAAAACAACTGAGTTGTATTCTGTCACAGTCATGGAGGCTAGAAGTCCATGAGGGTCAAACTCCTCTGAAGGCTCTAGGGAAGAATCCT